GGCGGCATTACGTGTCGCACGCGACCGTCGGCGAACTCGCGCTGCCACAAAATGTCGCACGCGGCTGTTCGCGAACGCGCGCGGTACTTCAGCAGCCGTGCGCGACTCTCGGCGGCATGACATGTCGTATGCGACCGTCGGCGATCTTGGGCGACGCGAGATGTGTCGCACGCGACTATTGGCAAACGCGCGCGACAGTTTAGCAGCCGTGCGCGACCCACGACGACATGAAGTGCCGCACGCGGCCATGGACGAACTACCGCGGCACGAGTACTAACCACACACCTTTCAAGAGGTGCAAACTAACGGTGGGGACGAGGATAGCCTCCTATTCCTACACTAACACCTCTTCTAGATGGAGCACGCTTCAGGAACATGGAGAAGGCTTTTCAAATGGTTCAAATCCAGCAAACCCACCGGCTCTTCCGCTGTTATGAGCTTTGACAACTTCTGTAATTAGAAAGCACGGTTGAGACAAGTATTCACTATTAGATTCCAAGCTCCAACCTTTTTCTTTCGAGTTTGTCGAAGGGTCTCGCGTTCTTCGGTCAAACGTGGTGTAGTTCCAACTTGCGATGATTTTGAATTGTCCCGTTTAGTTGGTTGTTGCTGCTTGCTCTTTGTCTTCTGAAAACAAGTTGAACAAGCTGGATGTCAGGTTTTTGAAGAAGTCACTTGAACGAGCCGAGAGCTCTTCAGGTGACTGGCTGGCTACTGCTCACCTCCACCATGAAGAACTGTCTATGAAGTACCAAGTATACGAATGCACCTAACCGCTTCTCTTCACCCTGTGTTTCCTTTTTTCCTTTGTTTCTGTTTTGATATTGTGATATGACAGAGAGAGTCAGAGGCTGAACCTTCCACTCAATCGACCAAGAACAATGACCTGAGCGGTTGTTATTGCTTTCTAGTGCTAACCACTCCACCTCTCTTTGTTCTGCTGAGTCCAGTACAGTGGGTCAAAGAGCTCCACACGTCTGATCCAGCCTCCCTAGTCTTGCCTGATTTCGGCGGACTAAGAGTGGGGTCCGAGACTTAAGATGCTTTACTTGAAGGGGGTCAGGAAAGCAGCGATTGCAAAAGCTGATGGAAGGAAATTCAACCAAACTGTTCAGATTACTCGCTGATACTTCAGGCTGATCTTTCAACAGTGTGGGTCATTTGGAATGAATGAGAAGATAAAAAAGGCGATGAAATGATTCCTTCATGACTAAAGGGACCACAAGAAGCTGCCCAGCCAGCTCATGTAGGAATCATTTGAGCAACTTGATGAGAAGTTTCTAAGCACCCACATAGCCCTTTTCAACTTGAATCAGATATTGGGCTCCTAGTGAGGCAGTGCTCAAAAGAGTTGTACAGTAGATTCAGTCCGTGTGGTAGAGACCTGATTATCAAACATGGGCGACTAGAAATTCCTGATCTACTCGCTCAATTTTCTGACGTTTCTGGTTATTTCCGTGATAGAATTTTACGTTCCCCCATCCCTCTCGCACGTGGGACACTGCTCTTCCTGCGGAAAACGCTTAATGCCCGGCTGTCCGCTATCCATCTTCCCACAACGAACGCTTCATTTTTCACGGGCCCTAGAGTGACGGAATCTCCAAATAAACAAAGCTATGCGATGATATTCAAAATAAGGTGATGTTTACGCTTGTGGTTAAAAAGTTCCTTCTATTGTCCTCATTCGAGATTGATTCTTCCCTTCCGAGAAGCCCTCCTACATTTGAACAACCTGTTTGCTTGTCGGAACTCTTACTAATGATATCGATTGGTGATAAAGTCATTATCAGAGGTCATCCATATTCATGACCCTTCTTAGCTTTACGGATATAAACCATTAACAGAGGTTCTCATATTATTGGTGGTCGGATGAGTTCTGTTGCTAATGATACCGTAATGAAAAAAAGAACGTGATCCCTCGTTGAGACACAAACTTTAGTGGGATGCGGTCGTAATCGAATCACCTGCCGTCCCGTCGATTATCGATTTGCTGGAGAGGGCGCCAGGAACGTCTCAATGCACCCTTGTTGTGAGCCGAAGCAGTACAGTAGATTCCCTCACTAGAGGTTCACGAGGAATAGCATCCCTTCCGTTTAGGGATAGCCCTCTTCCCCTGCGCTTCTCCCCCATCCCCTCCTTCCCTCTAGCCGATAACTGATTCAAAGAAGCAAATGATATGCAGTAACAATAAACAAATACTTCAATTTTCACTCATCACTAACCAAGAGGGGGTCGGGCATGGCGGGGCAGTCTTACGTGCAGGTAACTTAGCCAGCAAGCGCGGTTCCAAACATTACTTGACTTTGGAGATACAATAACCATGATGCTCTCGATTTTCAGTGGCAGTTGCAGTTTAACGAGCAACATCCGATAAATGGTTCAAAACTAGCCACTTATGGTAATGGACGTTACGTGTTCCTACTAGGAAATAAAAGGGTGGGTACTATATTGCTCTATTTTTTCGAATGCAAGCAGAAATTTACGATCGATTGCCGTTTTTTGTGCTAACTGTTATAGGAAAGAATTCACTCTAATTGCTTATTCGACGCTAACCGCAAAACAGCATTCATGCTCCGCGACGCTTTTGAGCGAATGGGTCGGAACTTTGTAGAGTCATAAAGAGGCTTGATTACGCATGATTTTCT